GATGGATGAGAGCAACTCTTTTGGTGTGCAAGGAAGTTCTGGAAAAGGCCTCACAGAGCACTTCAATGTTCCTGTATGTTCAACGTTATTGAGGTTATAATCGTTTCTCATATCTCCATAATACCCATTGTGTCATGGTTTGCAGGTTGAGAAAGTCGATATCATAACAGCTGCAATGGGTCATGCATTAGCTGCAGAAGGAGGATTCTGTACTGGAAATGCAAGTGTCATTGATCACCAGGTATTATAGATACATTATAATCTATTGTGTGGATGGCCTATCTGTGTATCGTGCAGCTGTACTTTATTGCATACTTGTGCATTTGTCAAGTGTGATTAATATGGCTTGACAACACTCAATAATTTTTTTTATATAGCTCAACAAGGAGGATATAGAATACAAATTTTGTAAAGAACACTAATGTTTAGCTAAAAAGTCCAGTATTAAAATTCTGAATTAAACCTGAGCTTGTGTTGTTTACAAGATTTGTATTCTATATCCATATCCTCATAATGAATTTATTCTGAGACTCACATATCTTTAGGTAAATACTTAGTAAGAAAAACAAATCAGATACAATCTTGTTATTTATATGCCCCCACCTAATTTATCCCACATTTTGTTGTTGCTGATCCATTGTCCTAGTCTCTTTTCCAAATTACATTACAAAAGGCTAACATGCGATTTGGTTGATGACAAGCGATTTGTTGGATTTGGTGTTTACTTGCAGCGCCTAAGCAGCTCTGGTTATGTTTTTTCTGCTTCTTTGCCTCCATACCTAGCTAGTACCAGTCTCTGCTATCGATGTGGACGATGTCTTCGAAGAAAATCCTAATCTGATCAGCAAGTTGAAGGAAAATGTTGCAAAATTAAGGACTGGTATGTTTCTGAATTTTCTGTTGCAAACTTGCAAAAGTTAGTGCATGAGCTCTGCTTTTACCGATGTGAATTGGTCCTGTAGATATTGTTGACATTGTGATTTGGTCAGTATCTATCAATGTTCACCATACTACATCTTAGGATTCATGATACATATCTATTGACTTTTTTTTTGGGTAGTAGTATGCATTATGCATACTAAATAGTACTTCCTCTTTTTTTATTTACTCACAACATTGCAATAGTGTTTATTATTCGCATACTCAACTATAATTGCATTTTGTAATTTATACTTGATAAAATATATACTCATGTGGAATCTTATTAGATTTGTTTTAAAAGCTTTTTTTTATTTTTATTTTTTTTAATTTTTACATATGTACTGTATTAAAGATATAAGCAATTGAACATGTCATATAACTAATATATAAAGTTAAACAGCGACACTTGGCGTACCAATTTTTTGCCAAGTGTCGCTCCACGTAGACAATGATTAAATAATAAAAAAATTAAGATAAAAATTAATAAAATAATAAATAAATATATTTTAGGATAAAATTGTTAGCTTAGAGTTTTATTTTCAATAAACTTCTCATGCTTCTCACGTATATAATAAACTATGACTTTTAAAAAATTTAGGATTAAAATTTAATAAAATAATGAGTAAATATATATTAGGATAAAATTTTTTAGCTTAGAGTTTTATTTTCAATAAAACTTCTCATGTTTCTCACCTATAAAATAAAATATAACTCTAAATAAATAAACCCCGACATTATGAATATGAATTCTTATTTGTTATTTGTTGTTGAATGCTTATATGGTACGAAGTATTTTAACTATAAAGTGAACCTGGGGCATCGCCCGGGGTACATACTAGTTAAAACTATTTTTATATATTTTAACAAAGGTTGTGAGTAAAAAAAAAAAAAAAAAGAGGAAGTATACCCTAGTCTCGTAGAAGCGCGTTGACAATCTTCTTAGTTCCGTGGGTTATTTTGTTTGTGCCATGTTTACTCCGTTTGGATAGCACCAACCTGCACTATATATGTATTTATGTTGGATTAGGGTCCAAGCTATTTGACTCAATTCTTGAAGCGTCTTCAGGTTTGGAATTTTAGCATTTCTATTTGGATTAGTGTCTAAACAAGGCAATAACTTATTTCTTTTTTAATGAAGTAAAGGCACTGCATGATATGAAGTATTTTGGACTATTTAGGCCAAGAACAAGATAATAGGAGATTATTAGATGAACTGATCTATATATAATCTAATATCTTTCTAGTATTGAAATTATAATTAGAAAATATTTTACTTGGTCCTTTTGGTTAGATTTTAGTGTTTCAATTTTGTTGTTCATTGATATTTTGATGTCTTTGTGACACGATTCTGTGCTTTGGATGATTTTATTACTAAAGCTTCTTACTAATGGGGCTGACTTAGTTGCAAAATCTGTTCTAAATTAGCCTATATTCTGCAGTTTGGGAAGTCTAGATATGAATTTGGAATCATAAGGCAGAATTTGAAGTTGTGTTTGGATTTGGATACGATGTTGAAAATTTATTTACTAGGATAGCCAAACACTTATCTTCTCGGTCTTCCATCTTTGTAATTCTTCTAGCCATCTAGGCTTCATGGGCTACTTGGCTGTGCTAATATGATAGTTCTTTATGTTTCAGGTTTTTCGAATTGTGAAGGTTGTAAAAACTTGGAGGCTCATGGGGAGCCTCCTAAAAGCCCAATAAAAAATAAAAAAATTCGTGTAAAAGTTGGCAATTCTACTTTCTAATAGAGTCGTTAGTTCCGCAGCTCTGGGAGAAAATTCCATTGTTTAAATATAGATAGGCAGAGTTAACAGATAAGGCCGCCCGTTCATCAACATCAATAGGTATTTGGAAAACAAAAAAAAGTTCCCGTCCCTTTTTGGGACGTGGTAATACAAAAAGAGTAGTTGCAAGTGACCCTATTTCTCCCATTGTTTTTCTAAAACTATCAAAATCCACAGGCTCTTCAGAAAAGGACATCCAGTTGCTTGAAGATATCGTTGATGAGGTATACATGCCACCGAACATTTTATTTTATGCATAGATTTGAGAATTCTGAGCTAATTATACTTCATGCAGCTTTTGGAGAAGCACAACATATTCGTTGTAACTTCCAAGCAGTCAACACTTGATAAATGTCCTATACCTGTTGGTATAAAACTATTTGTTTCTGCTGGTCATGGTGAATCTGATATAATCAAAGTTTGTGAAGCATTGAAGATGGCTGTGCCATCAGTGCTAAATAACCCTGCTGAAAGTTTGGCTTCTGAAAATTGAAGTGGGATTGTTTTCTGCTTGTGGATTAAAAGCTTGAGATATAGTAAACAAGACCCCCTATTAGAGACTCCTGCAAAATATTTTTAACTGAGGTTGCTGAAGAATACATACTTGCCATTTAACAATATGTCCTCTGGAAGTAACGGAAACATGGGGTTGGCATCGCGATGTGGAAAGTTTAGGGAAACTCGGAGTTTTGTAAATCTGAGATGTTGTACGAGGGAAGTAGTTTCAAGTACAATGTTTCCATAACTTGTCATACTCTTGGGGTTGGCTCTTTCAGGTCTGGCATATTTGGTAGATTGATTTATCTTCCTAGAGTCCAAGAAAAGTATGCAAGTATAGTGAATGTGATTTTAAACCATTTTATGTAGTCTTCAAGTTCTTGACCAATTTTATATTTTTCTTCACATTGTGTCGTTAATGTATAAACCTTAGTTCATTATAGCTCAAATGATTTTTTTACTACATAATCTATTCTGTTACAGTTCATTATAGCTCAAATGATTTGTTTACTACATAATCTATTCTGTTACTGGGTCATTAGTATTGTTGGTGGTGAATATCTAATATTTATCGGCAAGAGAATCTTAACTTCTTGTTACTCAAGGCAACACAATTTCAGAAAATATATTGTCAAGTTTCTGACTATATGAGATGAAAATTTTAATTCACGGAGTACCAAGAGATAATGCAGATTGGAAAAACACAAGTATTGTTTTTGAACTGCATATTTCCTTTATAGACTTGAAGTAATTGTTGTAAAAATAAGTGTTTTAAAGGCTATAAATACTAGAATGAGTAATGTAATTGTTTGATCAGAAGGAAGATAGTGTGCGTGATTCGTCATTGACTTTGAAAACGGATTCCGACGCAATTAGGGTGCACATTGTATCACCGGTACGTTCCCTAAGGTTACACACCACTTTCACTCTAAGGCATTTTAGAGTAAGAGGTGGAGTCAAAGTAAACTTATTCCCAAAAAACAAATGTGTTTAGCTAATTTTGTGTATCATCTACATGCAAGAAGAAAAATAACCATGCCAAATTTATAAGCAAAGATGGAGTTTTAAGAGAATGAATCTAGACATCAAAGGGTGATTAAATCACCGTAAACATCCACTTTAATGGGAGGTTACAAGAGAATCCAAGAGATGTAGGAAGAATGCCAAAAGCCGAATGTATGTAGTTATGAAAAAGTATACTCCACAACCCACTTGTAAACAATCGTTGTTAGACACAACCTACTTGTGGAGTAGGCTGATTTTTCTTATAAAATAGATAGATATAAAAAGTCTACTCCACAACCCACTTGTGGGCAACTGTTGTAGGCCACAATCTCTCTTAGTAGAGTATACTAGTCGACTACCAAAAAGCATGGTTTTACCCTCTTTAATCCAATAGTGATTACTTGTAGCTTGAACGTGTGTTGTAATTCTAACCCTCCACTACTCCAGCATTGATAAATTCATAAATTTACTAAATAAACTTGAATATTATATTTACCAAACAAATCCGAATACAAAGTTACTTTTTTGCAAACTAAAAAAAACAATAAATTAAGCTTATTCAAATTATTTTAGAGAGAAATTGTTTGAGAGCTATATTTTACGAATTTCATTAGGTTGAGATCTAGAAAATATAATTAAAGAAATATTATTATTTGAAAGAATTTGTAACCAAACTAGAAGATTTTTAATTAAATTAGTCTCTTCAAATATCAAATATCAAATATCAAATATCAAATGTAAATTTTAATTTTTTTTTTTTAGATTAAAATTATAAAAGCAAGCTTAAAATAAAGGCGTTGTAAAATTTCTTTCCAGGAACTGCGCATATGCAATTGAATCTCCAATTCTCCAAAAACTGGTCTAACATGCACATTAGTCATAATAGCTAGCGGAGTCGATCATTGGTAAACCAGATATACAAATTCGGTTTACCAAAAATACAGTTGATTGATTGCATAATAAACGAAAAAAGAAAAACCTGCTTCTTCCAACTAGTCCTAATACATATACATCGACAAAAGGATTCTTGGATGGCATTACTAGTTTTTTCATCAGGCACCAATATACTGATAACAGAATGCTGCAAAAATCTCTTCGATCACCAAGTACAAGATTTGCAGACTCATCAGGCTGCTCCAACAAGAAGCGCCTTCATAACTGCTGCAGAACATCGAAACATAATCAACTTTATGGATATCAAGCGAAAGAAACAAACCATATTAAGTCGAAAAATCAAAGAAAAAGAAACTTGCCTGTATCAGCACGTCATTTCTGTGGCTTCTTCCACAAAACTCCGATCTTTTTCAGGACGTTGCCATTTTTCTTCTTGAAGGAATCGTCATCATAGTCATCCATGTATGGTGAGCTATGTCTTCCCCTGATAGGACTATACTTGTTATCTAAAGGCAATGATCCGGTTCTCTCCACATATTTCCCATTGCTCCCAGGAGACAGCATAGAAGCAGCCGCTTCTGCTGCCTTTCTCCACTGATCAGACTGCACTTTAAGTCTTCTTAGCTCTGCCTCCATCTCTGAATTTGTGGCCTGAGCTGCCTCTAGTTGCTCAACAACCCTTGCTGCTTTCCTGTTACTCTTATCTACTTCTTCCATCATGTACCCAAGCTTTGTCACAGCATCTTGTTCAGCAGCTCGGGAGGCATCCACCTCAGCCGCAACTTGGTCATTTTCAACACTCTTGTCCATTTCATGTTTACTGATCTCTAACTTCAGTATTTCGTTCTCCTCTGAAATGCTCTGTAGTTCTGTCTCCTTATCCATCAAATTTGACCTTAAATCGGCTACGTCTTCCCTCAGTCTTTTCAGCTCATTCTCCACTTCCTGTTCTCTTTGGCATGCCAAAGATTTCTCAAGTTTTAGATTCAAGCTATCATTCTCATCTGATATGCCTTGCAATTCAGTTTCCTTGTCCATTAGGTTTGCCTTCAGCTCTTCGATACTTGCACTAGCATTTTTCAGCTCCACTTCCAGCTCAGCCTCTCTTAGCCTAGATTGCATCTTCATCTGCTCTAAGAGATCAGAAGCATTTCCAATCTGCGTGCTGCTGTGAGAACGCTCATCATTGTATCTTATCTCAGCAGCTTCTAATGCAGATTTAAGCTGCCTCACATCGGACTTTGCGGCCTGCAGTTCTATTTGAAGCTGACTGACATCCTCTGGCAATATCTGATCACCAACGGATTCAAGAGAATTTACACTGCTGAGATTCATGAGATCTGCATTAAGACCTTTGACAACACCTTCAAGAAAGAATACGCGAGCCTTTGACTGTTCTAATTCAGAAACAAATGCATTGTAAGCCTCCGTGGATCTGTTGACATCTGATCTGAGGGCATTGACAGTCTCCTTAGCTGCTTCTAGTTGCAGTAAGGTTTCCCTGACTAGATCCTGTGCTTCAGCTTCAGATACTCGAGAGTCTTTCAGCTCTTGTTTCATGATTTCAAGGACCGAGACAGTTTCAGTCAAGTTATCTTTCAAGCTTTGGAGCTCAGCAGCTGTTTCACTTTGTTCAACCTGTACATCACCAGATTCAGTGACCTTCTCAAGATGCAGCTTGAGCCTCTCAATCTCCTCCAAGGCTGAGGCTAATGCAGCTGAATCCGCAGAGTGCTGCTGACGAACAGACTCAATCTGAGATTTCCATTCATGCTCCTTATCCTCTGAAATGTTCTGCAGATCTACAATATTTTCTTCCTTAGAAGCAAGAAGTTGACAAAGTTGCTTCTGATTTTCTTCCAGTTTCGAAGAGACATCAGCTAGCTGCCTTTTTGATTCCTCTGCATCTTCCTGAGCCTCCTTTTTCACCGATTCAGAAGCAACCAGTTGGTCTTTTACCTTTTTCAGATCATCATGGAGTTTGGAAATTTGGGACTCTAATTCTGACAATTTGCTAGGGCGTTTCTTCTACACGTCGAATGCAACATAAAAAAGTTAACGAATAATTCAAAAATTGCTAAAACTCAACTTGTGTGTCCATGTTAGTTGTTGGGAGTGGGGTGGAAGGTAGCATTTGAACAGAAAAAAACCAGGAAATAAAAAGAAGTTGCACCATGATAAAGAAGCAGCATGGAGAGCCATTACAAAAATGAAAAAAAAAAAAAAAAAAAAAAAAAAAAAAAAAAAAAAACCTTCTAAATTAATTTTCATGTAATATTTTGTATATGCATAAAGATAGATAAATGAATAATTAAAAAGAACTGTGATTTGTTTACCTAAAGTGGAGGAATAATTAGTTAGAGTACCTCAGAAATTGGGCTCCTTGGTGATCTACGCTCAATTACTTTTGGGCTCCTATTTGGAGTCTTTGCAGTTGCATTACTTGACGGAGATGAGGAGGTCGGTTCAACAGGATTTATTTTTAGCTGTCTGGCCGGTCGTGCAGAGACTTTTTGAGGAGACTCCTTGGGGCTTCCTCTGTTTCGAAGGAGAGAGGAGAAGAAAGATTGATAGTAAGTAAACATGTACTGTACATAATAGACGCATTAAAAAAAACCATTGTGATCTGGTAATAAAGATGTAAAAGTGCAAGATTGACTCAACATTAGTAGCCACATATAAAACAAATAGGAGAAAACAAATATCCCAATCTTGGCTATGAGTTTCTATTAGGAACAGAAAAACTGAAATTTTGACAACGACAAACACAGAAAATTAGCTAAACAACTCTAAAATGAATACCAAAAATACACAAATAGGGATTAGACTATTAGAGAGTGGAAGTAAAATTATTTGGACGCTAGATCAAGGGTGAAAATGACACTAAGGTGCAAAGTGTTTTATCAGCTTAATCTCAAAAATAGTGGAGTTAGTAATAAAAAATACTAATCTGAAGGATAAACATAGCACATTAAACCAGCATCTCAGACCATTTGCTATTAATTTGTCCCCTGGACTAGACTTGTAGCCATCTCACTCTGATTCAAAGATATCAATAAGCTAATTGATTTGTTAAACTTTATGAAATGAAACATCCAGCCCTTGTGAAACTCTATGAAAACAATTATACAGGCAGAATCCCTTCTTTTCGGATTGCCACAGGATATATAGTTAAGCCCGAGTTGTTCCACTACCAATCAACCTTCATGGTTATTAGTAACCTTAACTAAATGTTTCCGTCCCTGTCTTACTCTAATCAAAACCAAAAGCAGATACAACCATAAAGCAGAAATAAGCAATTGGCAAAAGTTATCATATAGCATAACAAAGAAAACAACGTATCAGCAAGATATTTCAAAAATGAGAACAAGATAGCTATTCAAATTTCAACACGAGCAAAATTGGATTACAACCAAAGATATTCACTCGCGACCAAAGATCAAAACAATTTACAAACAACTTGTTTCGATGCGCAGTCAGTAAACCATTTTATACATTTCTAACCTCTAAAATCACTTTCACATTCAGTCATACACACAACGAATTAGCACTCAAAAAATTGAAACTCGCAACCAAAGATCAAAATACTTTACAAACTTGTTTCAATGCGCAACCAGTAAACCATTTTATATATATCTAACCACTAAACCAACTTCATATTCAGCAGCTATACATACAACGAACTAAAACTCGAAATCCAAATCTCCGATAAGTTATGAGCACAAGAAAACACTCAAGGGATTATGATACCATACCTTCACATTATATACATTTCTAACCTCTAAACTACCTTCACATTCAGTAATATATACAACGAACTTAAACTCGAAAACCCGAAACACGAACACGATGAGTTTAGCACAAGAAAACACTCAAAAGGATTATGATACCATACCTTGCCTTGGCAGTCTGCATAATGAATCTCAACTTCCCCCCTTAAACACAACACAAGGTGTAAATTGGCAAATGGAGGTAGTAGTGTTAGATCTTCACACAATTAATACTGTTTTGGACCCACAAATTCTGCCACAAACAGAAGCACAGAAATCACAAAACACATATATCAATCAATAATAACCCAACAAAAAAAAAACAAAAAAAAAAGAACCCAATGCATATGCAAATGAATGATGGAATTTAATATGAACTCACCAAGAAACATAGCAATTGAGTAACTGATAATATTATCATAAATTCATTATAATGTGATTAGTAATTTTTTTATTTTATTTTATTTTTTTGCTTTTTTCAAAAATATTGAATGTTTTCCAACGGTTCTATAAAAGCAACCATTATTGTAAGCACGAGGGAGTAGGTATAGTAATGTGCAAGAGTGACAGTAACTGCTCAGGTATATTTTCTAAAAATACCCTTGATGAATTGGCCAACAAAGGACCCACCAAAAGGGTAAATTTGGAATAAAGCTCAATATTTGGTAGAATTATGGCCGAGAATTAAGGCACAATGGCACATGTCAATGTAACCATACTGTAACATCAGATTTTTTATTTTCATTCATGGCCTACAGCTCTACATATATTAAAATATTATATGAAATTCTATTTTGTTTGAATATCAGGAAAAAAACAAATCATTTATGAACAAAAAGGAAGTTCAACTTTGTTCAGATTTTTATTGTAGTTTAGTTCCTTTTCTTAGCAGATTTTAGAGATAAACTTACAACACATAAATCACTTCAAATATCAAGTAAGTTGAGATTAACCACAAAGACGTAGACGGGATTCGATCTGACACAAGACACATGTACTTAATGCTCTAAGCCTCTAACCATCTAAAGTAGTAAACATCCAACATAATAACCCACATTATGACCCTGATTAATAACTTTTTACTTAAACAGTTACATGAAGAAAAAAAATTAACCTTTAACGGTTGAAAGGGTATCATCATTACACTTTATACAAACCCTAAACTATTCCAAAAATACATTATTTTTTAGAAAGCAAAAACAAAAAATCATTAAATAAACAAAACCCATTAAAAAAGCAGAAAAATCTTGAACACCCATTTAATCTACTTCACTTAAAAAGCTAAAAATCCTGTTTTTTTTCCTCTGTTTTTAAGCTCAAAAGCAGGAAAAACAAAAGCAAAAAAAATAGAAAAATAATAAATAAGAATAAATGTAATGCTAAAATAAAATAAAATTAGTTACCTGAAGAAAAATGCAGGAGTTCTTAAAAATGCAGAGAAAAAGTGAGAAAGAGTGAAGATGAGAGAGAATAAGTGAGATAAGGACTGAACTTTGTAGAGAAGTAGTAAAAGAAGTGAGTAGGGGGAGACAGTAGAAGGGGCGCGGAGTTAAAATTGTCGTTTCCCAAAGCTTATTTTTCAAAAATTATGTCATTTCTAACTACTCTTTCACGTCCGCAAACCCTCTTTCCTTTTGCTACTTTCCAATGTCAACATTTTAAACCACCCTTAGAGCGTACAAGTATTTGTTTTTTTTTTACTACTTCCGTCCTCGATTAATACTCACTTTTGAAGAAAAATCACGAAAAATAAGGAGAATTATAGAAAGTACATTGAAAAGGTAAATTTACAATGAGTATGCAAAAAAGTAGATAGAGAAAATAATTAAAGTACATGGGTTAAATTTGCACAAATATTTTTGCAAATATTATAGAATTTTGATAAAAAAAAATAATATTAATAGTATTTGAAAAAAAGCGAATGTGACTAACATTTTGAGTCACTAAATATGGCAAAAGTGATTATCCTTCGGGGACGGAGGGAGTACTATTTTCTCCGTATTTTAATACGGAATAATTGTTACACTTTGATTGACATACATTTTTAGTCAATTTAATTGATTTAAATAAAATAAGAGATAAGTAGGATAATTTGAGTATTAAAAAATTATAAAAAAAATAGTGGAGTTACGGAGTAATAATTTATTGAAAAGTAATGAATGTGAGGGAGAGAAATAATTAAAAAAAAAAGTGAGAACTATGGAAAGAGAAAAATCTAATACTCCCTCCGTCCCAAAAAGAACGACCCATTTGGCCAAAACTTTGTCCCAAAAAGAATGACCCATTTGCATTAAAACACCAACAATTTGCAACAATATTTGTGCAAAATTAGGTTCCCCATATAAAAATTTTATTTTCCAATGTTATTTTATTACTTTCTCTCTCTATTTTTTTACAAACCCCATGCAAATTTATCTTTCCAATATACTTTTATTTCTTTTTACTTAACTTCCTTAATACCCGCGTAATCAACCCAAATGGGTCGTTCTTTTTGGGACGGAGGGAGTCTATATATATATATAAAGGGGAGTTTTTTTCCCAAGTTTTTAGAGAGTCACGTAGGATTTAATTTTTTTCAGCGCGTCAGGTAGAGTAATACATTGGAAAAATACACTTTAATAATCCCAACTATGGATGATTTACCTACAATAATCCCAACTAACGTTTATTTTCCAATAATCCTAACTATTAGGTGAGTTTTCCTCCAGCAGTCCCAAAAATCGGTTACTTGCTAAAAGGGTAAACTTTTTTTAAAAAAAAAAAATAAAAAAACGCCACATGTCATAACATAATTGGCTTAATATAAAAAAAATTATTAAAAAAAAAACAAAAGTCATCTGAGTCACCCCCTCTCCCTTCAGCCACCTTACATTCACCATGAAACCTCGGGCCATGGCGGCTCAAACCCTTTTTCTTCACCCAACACCACGGCTCCGCCGCCTCCACCATCGCCTACCCCCTCCGACCAACCGCAGCAGCGCAGCCCTACCTGAAGAACACCCACAAACTCCCTTCTCTCTCCTTCTCGTGCCTCTTTCTCTCTCCTCCGCTGACGAACACCCACGATTCCACGAACACCCACGCTGAAGAACACCCACGAACATCCACGAACACCAACCGAATTCTCACCGTCGACATCATCTTCAACCTCCAGACCCAATCCACGCATGTGACGACCTTTAAGGTGGTCGAATTCGATGTTGGGCTCTCGTTTTGGAGGTTGGGGAGGGCTGGTTGGGCGGTTTCAGGGGTGGGGGTAGGGGGTAGAGGCCGGCCGGCTATTTTCGGTGGTTGGTCGGTCGATTTCCAGCGAGATCAAGGGTTGTGGTTAGGGTTCCAGCGAGGTTTGGGGTGGGGGAGAGAATGGCTGACATTTGGGGGGGGGGTTATGGTTATTATTTTTTTTAAAAAAAAATTGACCAATAACGTGTTAACACGTGTCATGGTACTTGTTATAACATGTTGTTCACTTTGTGTTTACCGGTTGGGATTGCTGGAGGAAAACTCAGGGCGTAGTAGGGATTATTATAAAATAAACGTTAGTTGGGATTATTGTAGGTAAATCGCCCATAGTTGGGATTATTAAAGTGTATTTTTCCTAATACATTTTAGTGGTAGCCAATTGCAGACACCCAATTGTGTCTCCCCAAAACCAAACCCAGTGATGAATACCTTTCACGTCATTTGATTATCGAACAAAGCGAAAGTGTGAAAATTTTAGTGATGTGGATGTTTTTTTATTAAAATATCCCTTCTTTCTGTTTTTGAAAATATTTCTTTTCTTACCCTATTTATAAAAACGTGCATTCCAGTTTATTTTGGTCCATGATATGGGTCCAATAATGGTGTAGTTGGATGTGTTTTGAAAAGACATTTCCAACGACATATTATAAGCTCAATTCCGATGAATAATGAGGAAGTTATGGCCAAAATACTAACTGGGCCCAAACCGGATTTTACCTACGGCCCAATGATCATGTGGAGGGTCCAAAGGTCTAATCCTATTCCTAAACTAATTAGGATTAATTAGAAGCTTCTATAAATTTCTAAAAGATCTTAATTATCCTTTTTGAAAAGATAAGATTAAAAAATTTGAGTTAAATAAAAACTTTCCTTTTATAAAAACTTTCCTTTTTCTTAAATCCTAATTCTATTCGAATTTAAAGATATTCAAAGACAGTCTGATATTAATTTCGTGCCTCATAATCTTTATCCAAATCTTATATGTTTGGATATATCTTGAAATTATCTTTCCAATGTTATATTATAATATTAAATCCGAGCTATAACGAAAAAGATATGAATGGAATACAAATTAAAACTTTATCCAAAACTGACACCGTCCTACAATTTCAATCATAACTTTTTATCTACAAAATATTTTAATTTGATTCTAATTGGGTTGGAAAGTAGACTTCAATATATTTCCAACGACATATTATATGTCTTATTTGGACTTTTGGATCAAAAGATATGATAAAAACAAAATTCGCAAAAACTACTGTCCGTCGAGTTTTATTTCAATTCGAATTCGGATTCTTTTCTTTATTTTTTCGACTCTATTTTTTCCTATAAATAGAGGTCATATCACCCCTTTTTAAAATCACCAACTTTCATCAAAAAAATATTGATTCTCTCTCTCTTTCTAAACCAAATTTTCACAAACAAAATTCCGCATTCACAAGATCTAGACATACCTAGCCAAGTTCGAAGCTGCCTTCGCCCTAGACGTGAAAGGTTTGATATTTTTGAGGGTTTGGTCCCAAATCTCTATTTCAATTATTTAATTTAATTGTTTGTTTTATTATTTTCCTTGAAGTTACTAATGTGTGTATTTTGTTATTAGAAAGAGGTACGAGGCATCCAAGTAAGTGTTGTAATTGTTTTTATTGATATTATGATATAGAAATCATATTTAGGTTCCTATTTTGATTCCTAGTATCATGTTACGATTCTTTTCTTAGTATGATATTTAGGGTAAGAATAAGTTTTTCCTTTCCTAATATTCATGTTAGTATTATGTTAGGGTTAAAGATTTGATCTTTGATGACATGCTAGGGTTTGTTATTAATATTGTTAGTATCATGCCTAGGATCTTGCTATTATTATGCTTTAATATGATTTATGATTATAATTTTTTAATCATTATTATTATGATGATTATTATGTTGCTTGATTATATTTATTGTTATTGCTTGATCACACCTTTTATGCATGTTTAAAGGGAATTTGTACTTGTAATCACGCTTAATAAGATAATTAATAATCTTGTTTAGGGTTAATTTGATTATGATTCAAGTGATCGCCAATAATAGATTTGTTTGTGCATTAATATTCAACCAACATAGATTAAACAGGTTTAGGGTAAACCTAATTATTGCATGTTAGTCAGAAAGCGCACATGAATACGAGAAGAATAAAGTAGAGGCCTATTATTAGGACAAGTTCTTTCTCTTTTAGATTGAATTTGTACCTTCATCCCCGAACACCAGTCATGGTTCCATACCTATTTGAGTTGACGATCTCATTGATGATTAAGGGGTGTAAACTTCACCCTGTGAACGGTTTACAAGTTTCTAAAACTTGTTGGCGACTCTTTTGCTCTAACTTCCTTCCCTTTAGACGACACCGTACTTAAGTGTATGATCACAGTGGGGTTCAAGTTTGGGGTAATGCTTGAAATATTCCCTACACCAATTAAATACGAGATTATTAATTTCTTTTAGAATTAAATAATTTAAATGACACGTAAGCAAAATTGGCGAATGAGATTTCCCATTTTAAATTAATTAAATATAAATATTATCTTTTGATATTAGGAATTTTATCTAAATATATAACATATTTTAGCACATATATATATATAATTATTTTAAGAAATTCAAACAAACCGTACATCGCACGAGCTTCATCTAGTATATATATAAAGGGGGGTTTTTCTTTAAATTTTTAGAAAGACACGTAGGATTTAATTTTTTCAGCGCGCCATGTAGGATAATAAATTTTAGTGGTAACCAATTAAATACGAGATTATTAATTTCTTTTATAATTAAATAATGACACGTAAGAAAAATTGGCGAATGAGATTTTCCAGTTTAAATTATTAATATATAAAATATTATCTTTTGATATTAGGAATTTTATCTAAAAATATAACAAATTTTAGCACACACACACACATACACACACACACATATGTATGTATGTATATATATATGTATATAATCATTTTAAAAAATTCAAACAAACTCTGCATCGCACCGGCTTTATCTAGTATTATAATATTAAAATGTAGTTTTTTTGCCCAAAAAAAGAAAGTGTAACACTTATTTTAAACACAACGACGTTTGATAAATGTAAAACCTATTAAAACGCGGAGGGAGTATGTATGTGAAACGAATTTAATTTAACTAGATGAAGCTCATGCGATGCACGGTTTATTTCAATTTCTTAAAATGTTTTTTTTATTTTTGTATTTATGTACTAAATTTTGTTATATATTTAGATTAAATTCCAAATATCAAAAGATAATATTTTATATATAATTAATTTAAACTTAAAAATCTCATTCGCTAATTTTGCTTACGTAGCATTTGAATTATTTAATTCTAAAAGAAATTAATAATCTCTTATTTAATTGGCTACAATTGAAATTTATAATCCTACATGGCGTGCCGGGAAAATTAAATC